TCAGAGCCATTCTAAGGGAAAGAGGCTGTGTCCCCTCTTATAGAAGGAGAATGGGACCCATGTGCACAGAGCACTTGCCTGCATTGGTATTCCAGACAGGTCCAACTATCCCTAGTGACACAGTTCTATATTATTGGGTCGTTGGGAAAATCATGATGTATTTTTCTATGTTTTTCAATGCAAAAATGCATCATGACTTTCCCGATGGCCCAATATTACAGAACAAATACTCCTTGACACTCAAGGCACAGTCAGATAACCTGGGAGCTTCCATGGCCAGGCCACTTCCCGATGGGGCGACCAGTAATTTTTATTATTTATTTATTTATTTATTTATCCAGGCATCAGTAGTTTTTATTATTTATTTATTTATTTTAATTTTTTGTTTCAGGCCTCAGTACTTTTTTAATCTCCCTGGGCAGTTCTAATAAGGAGCCAAAGCTGAAAACCACTGCTGCCGGTCTTGGGTCCCCTATGTTTCCATGTTCCACTCAAAGTGAAAATGAGCTAGTTTCTAGCTGTAGCTGTTAAAAACACAAAATTAAGTTCCAGGTTGCAGGCTTGCTGTTAAAACATCTGGATTCCCAAAATAGTTGCAAGGAGGCCTGGAGAGGTGTGTGTCTCTAGTGAAGTTGTCAAGTATCCCAGAAGTTTTGGAAATCAAGTTCTCAAGGGATGCCGGTAGCAGGAGTCTAGTTCTGGTATTACCATGAACCTGGGAACAAGTAACTTTGCTGTTCTGCAGACTGTGCTCAGGTGGGTTTGTGTACAGAGCTAATGTTTTGTGGGGGCCTAACACAGTACAAATAGTTGAAGTCCTGGGAGGAGGGGAGGACGCGCAGTCCTTGCTATCTGGAGTTAATACAGGATGTTTCACAGAGGAGGTGTGCTCTCATCCCATCCTTCCAGGTGGAGGTACATTTGTAGAGACAGAAAGCTGAAGAATGGGATGTCATGGGAAAGAGCTGCCCGAGAATGTCCCCAGGATGTTTATGAGACAATGTGGAGAGAAATCAGCTCAAGTAGCCCCTTCACTGGGACACATCACCTTTGGGTGAATGGGTTAAGGCTGTGGAGTAGCAAAAGGGTCTTCACTGGCAAGGGAATAATATAATTTGTGTGTTTTTGAGGAGGAAAAAAATGCAATGTGATTGCTTGCATAGAAGAAAGACTCAGGGAGAAGGTGAGCATGCTCTTGACCAAAACATCTGGACTTGGTTTTGATCTCTTCCTTGTAAACCTCTGAAAACTTTCTGAAACCTCTTAGAAAAACTTTGTATTGGTATCATACAGACTCAGATCTATCATAATTTACAGGATGTTTCCCCAAATGAATTTCTCCATTAAAAAAGTCAGAGACACTTTGGTGAGTCTCCAAGGCAAGTGTCTGTGTGGTCTCTGGTCCAGACACCATATTTTAGGTCTTCACCTCTCAGGTCCCCTCCAGTCAAACCTCCCCATCCTGTATCCATTCAAGCTCCCAAACCCCACCGCCAGGCATCTGGTTAACTGGTCTCAAATAAAGGCATTAAATCAGGTTAAGCATTGATAATGCAAAGTACTCACGCAATTGTGTAGAGAGGGGATCTGGCAAAGGAAAAGATGTTCAACCTCACTAGGAATCAAAATAATGCAAATATGGTAGGATTTTTAAATTACCAAATGAACCAAGGTGAAAAATAATGACAATGCTAGAGTTGGTGAGACTTCAGAGAAATGTGAGGTCTCTTGGACATTGGTGGAAGTGTAAATTGGCACAAGCTTTCTGAACAGTTTAGCAAAGTATGTCACATACTTAGAAATGCGCAGACACAGCAATTCCACTTCTCAGAGTTTGTCCTAAAGAAATTATTGGGCAGAGGCCAAAGATATTCAAATCAGCCTTTTTTATAATAAAGAATAATTAGAAATCATCTAAATAAATGTCCACCAAGTGAAGATTTTTTTATGTCAATTATGGTCCATACAATGGAACACTAAAGAGCCTTTAAAATGATATGAATTTTATAAACATGAAAGGATGCCCATTGGATATTATGGTGTCAATAATGTAAAGGTGTGTGTGTGCATGTGTGTGCACAATTGTGCACCTGTGCATTCATGCACACAGAGATCTAAAATGATAGTCATCGAAATATCAGCCATGGTGTCTTCTGGTTGGGAGAGCTTTCAATGCCTTTACCTTCTTTTTTTTATTGTTTCTAAAATTACAAAAGCAGTGTATACATACATACATACAGTGTATATGTACATACACTATATACATACATACAGTATATGCATACACTATATACATTCATACAGCATATACATACAGTATACACATACATACAGTGTATACATACATACACATGCTATATACCAGTCATTGAGCACTTGCCTCCACCCCCCTCCATTTTCACCAACACCGGAAGATGCTAGTCTTTTTAATTTTTGCCAATATGAGAAGTAAAGAATGTTATTTCATTTGCAGTAATTTAAATGTCCTAGATAACTAGTCAACTTGAGCATCATTTCATACATTTATTGGCCATTTTTATTACTTTTCAGAATTGTTCACTTTCAGTTGGGTAATTTGAGTTTTTCTTATCGATCTGCAGGAGCTTTGTTATAGTGTAATTATCAGTCCTTTGATGCCCTGTTTGTTGCAAATATTTTCTCAGTATGTTGTATTTCCTTGAAATTCGTTTAGGTCTTATTTTGTTATACAGGAGTTCATTTTTTATAACAAAATCTAACCATTTTTTCCTTTATGGTTTAATATTTTGTTTAGGAAGTCCACTTTCATAACCAAGAATATAAGGATACTTTCTTATATTCTCTATTTTTGTATATTTATATTTTTGTTTATAGATTTAAAATTTTTTATTTACTTATTTTAATTGTGGTGCAATATACATAACATAAAGTTTAGTATTTTAACCCTTTTTAAGTGTACAGTTCAGTGGCAGTAAATACATTCACAGTGTTGTGCAACCAGCACCATCATCAATCTCCAGAACTCTTTTCTCTTGCAAAACTGAAACTCTGTACCCATTGAACAGTAACTCCCACTACCCCCTCACCTCAGCCCCTGGCACTCACCATTCTGCTTTTTGTCTCTATAAATCTGACCACTCTAGGTGCCTCATATAAGTGGAATCATAGAGTATTTGTCTTTTACGACAGGTTTATTTTCACCTAGCATGTTGTCTTCAAGTTTCATTCATGTTGTAGCATATGTCAGAATTTTCTTCCTTTTTAAAGCTCAATAATATTCCATTTTAGATTTATTTTTATATTTACACTTTAATCCAGGTAGAATTTAATATTGTGTTTGGTGAGAAGTAACTTTATTTTTAGGTTTGTCATCTTTTTTTTTTTTTTAAAGATTTTATTGGGGAATTGGGGGAGGGGAATAGTGTTGGGGAATCGGGGGAAGAGGAACAGACAAGTTGCTGTCCTTTTGTTCTTCAGTCTACGTTGCTTCACTGGCCCATGTTGGTATTATCATTGCGCTCTTCCCGGGTGAGGCAGATCGCTCTCCAGCCTCTGGACAGCTGCTCATGGTGGCTCTTGGCAGCTCACACCAGCTGCCAGCTGCTCACGCTGGCTGCCGGCCACACACAGTAGCTTATGGCAGCCCACTGGAGCAGGGGCTGCAGCCTACGCAGTTGCCAGCGACTCACGGCAGCCCAGCTCCAGATCGAGCTGTTGTTCACCATCTTAGCTGTAGAAGGCAGTGTCACTGGCCCTCATGTGGGATCCGAACCGGGGCCCTGCTGCT